AGATTCAGATGAGAATCCAGTTGTAGAATTGTGCTGTTCTCGCAGTCGTAGTCGCATTCTCGATGACAGTCGCAGTGGCAACGGCAGTCACAGTCACAGCCTCAGCCTCAGCCTGCCTCAGCCTCAGCCTCAGCCTGCCTCAGCCTCAGCCTGCCTCAGCCTCAGCCTCAGCCTGCTTCAGCCTCAGCCCCAGTCTGCCTTCAGCCTCGGCCTCAGCCTCAGCCTGCCTCAGCCTCAGCCTGCATCAGCCTCAGCCTCAGCCTGCCTCAGCATCAGCCTGCCTCAGCCTCAGCCTCAGCCTGCCTCAGCATTCAAAATGTGGCCCGGGAATGCAGTTCTGGGAACTCGAAGAACACGAAGTGGCCTACAGTTGGCTCCGGGCATTCAAATTCATGCCCAGGAATGCAGTTCTGGGAACTCGAAGACCACGAAGTGGCCTACAGTTGGCTCCGGGCATTCAAAATCATGCCCAGGAATGGAGTTCTGGAAACTCGAAGACCACGAAGTGGCCTACAGTTGGCTCCGGGCATCCAAAATGTGGCCCGGGAATGGAGTTCTGGGAACTCGAAGAGCACGAAGTGGCCTACAGTTGGCTCCGGGCATTCAAAATGTGGCCCGGGAATGGAGTTCTAGGGACTCGAAGACCACGAAGTGGCCTACAGTTGGCTCCGGGCATTCAAAATGTGGCCCGGGAATGGAGTTCTGGGAAGTCGAAGAGCACGAAGTGGCCTACAGTTGGCTCCGGGCATTCAGAATGTGGCCCGGGAATGGAGGTCTGGGAGGTCGAAGAGCACGAAGTGTGTGACTGTTGGCTTAAAACGACTTCTGCGGCACCCTGTCCGGCACCCGCCCAGACCCCCCTGTGGAGTCATCTGCTGCTCTCTTTTGACCCTACTAGAAACCTATCAGAACAAGCTGTTAGGTAAAAACAGACCTTTCCTTCCTGGACTTGGCGGCGCGCTCAAAGGGGGCCTGCGAAGGGGCGCAGCCTTCCAAGAGGGCGGCGGGGGGGGCGAAAACGACAGGGGCCTTCCTGAAGGACCCGGAAGCTTCTCAGAACGCTTCACCTTGCCTTCTGAGAAGACCCGGGGCACTTCTGCAGGACCCTGCCTTCTGAGAGACGCCCGACGGTGCCGCGACGGACCCCGCGGTGAAGTCACAAGAGAGGAGAAGACCCTGCCGCACGATCCGACCCAGCACGTGCTCGGGATCCTGGAGGCCCTCAGCCGCCCGAGACAGCCTCGGAGAACGACACAAAACCCCAAACCGCGCGGCCACCTCGAATCCTTCGGATCCCGACGTCGCCATCGGCCCTCCGCGGGCCGACTGCGCCTCGCTCCGGGCCCCGGGGGGGCCCTCACGCTCGCGGGCCCTCTGGCTCGGACTTGCTGCGGAAGGATGGGTCGGGCCCGGGGCTCCCGCCGTGAGCTTCCGCGCGGTGCTCCCTGGGCTGCGCAGCGTCGAACCGCGGGGATCCCCACCGACTCACCCGACGGCGTGGTCGCCGCACAGCCCGAGCCCTCTCGGGCGGCAAATCCCTCCCCCTCCCGCGCCACCCCACCCCACCCTCCTTGTGATGAACCAAAAAACAAGCGGCCCCTAACCCTTCGGGAGGGGACCTGAGTTCGAAGGCCCAAAACATTCGAGATAGTCTGTCTTTTCTGCAGATGTCCGAGACCGAGCCGTCCAGAACTGCCATCCCCCGTACCGCCCAGAACTGCAATCCTCGATGCGAAGACGGGGCCCTCAGTGAGGCCACGCCTTCACCGTGCCATTAGAGTCAGCGGTTCCTTTGTGCTCGATGACCGTGTGCACGCCGCCGGTCGGCCACCCCCCCCCCTCGACTGGATGCCTCCCCCCGGCAGCACCGCGCCGCGCGCGGCCGCCACCGTGCCGCCGAAGGCCACCGAGGTAGAGGGACAAATCCCAGAGGCGCTCAGCCGCGGTCGAGGACCGCGGCCGATCGAAGAACGACCTGCCCTGGGCACATCCTCCTCCTCCTCCTCCTCCTCCTCCTCCTCCTCCTCCTCCTCCTCCGCCTCCTCCTCCGCCTCCTCCTCCGCCTACCTACCCTCCTCATAATCCCTCCTCTCTCCTCCTCCTCCCCTACCGCCCTCTCCTCCGCCCCTCCTCCTCCCCCCTCCTCTCCTCCTCCTCCTCCTCCTCCTCCTCCTCCTCCTCCTCCTCCTCCTCCTCCTCCTCCTGCTCCACCTCCTCCTCCTCCTCTTCTGGGCGCATCCCGGTTCCATCCGGCTCAATCCTGGGCCGAATCTGGCCCAATTCGGCCCCATGGCCCGCCAATCGGGCGGAGCAGCCCTTCTTTCCCTCGTTTCCATGAGCAGAACCTTTCGGAGGCCCGGGGCCGGAGGCGCTGTCATCGGGGTGGAGCACCGACCCAGGAGATCTGCGCGGACCTCCGAAAGTGTATGCCACCGTCTGCTGATCATTCCTCTTCGGCACGGACCTGGCCGAGGGCCGCCGAAGGCGGATTCGGGAGGCCACCATAGGCCGATCCGATCTTGCAGTACGAAGGTGGTCCTGAGATTAAATGGACCCTGCACCCCCGGAGCCCTCCATCCCGAGCACTTTGAAGAGGCCCCAGGACACACAAATAAATACACACAAATAACAGGATTTCCCATACTTTCCTATATGTTCTGGGTTTCTGTCTTCCCCCCCACTTCCCATATTTTCCTATATTTTCTGGGGAATCGAGGATTAATTGTGTCTGCGTGCTTCTTTTCCTCCTGACACTTGCTTGACAAGATCCTGGGGCCCACTGGAGGTCCCGGGAGCCCAGAGAGCGGCAGAACAAATAGCGATCGCGGGGCCAGGTTCTCTCAGGACCCGTCTGCTGCACGCTGCCTCGAGGGCTGCGGCCTCGGGGAGTCTTGCGGACCCGGGTCAGCCCAAACCCGGGTGAGTCAGGCCCTGCAGGATCCTGCAAAATCCCGTAGGATGCCGCAAGGTCCTGCACCCAAGCCCGGGTCAGCGCGCCACTGGCCCTGCAGGGCCCTGCAAGATCAAGCGCTCTGACTGACCCCCGTTTGCACTGGCCCCCGTCTCTTGAGCACCGACGAGTCTTCGGGGCCAGAACTCGGGCCTCGGGCCGCCGCCCTGGCACCCGCAGAGAACGCCCACGACGCGAAGATGTGCAGAACTCGCGGGGCTGTTTTAAAACCGTTGCTTCATGGCGGCGACTCCAATGCAGCTGGCCAGCCTCCCAAACCCCCAGAGGGGGCCATCAGGAGGAGGAGGAGGAGGAGGAGGAGGAGGAGGAGGAGGAGGAGGAGAAGGAGGAGGAGAAGGGGGAGGGGGAAGGAGGCGGAGGTTCGACAGAAGGAGGAGAAGGAGGAGAGGAGGGCAGGAGGAGGAGGGGGGGAGGAGGCGAGGCACGACATGAGGAGGAAGCAGGAGGAGGAGAAGGGGGGGGGGAGGGGGGGAGGGCGAAGAGGAGGAGGGAGGGAAGGAGGAGGCAGGGAAGGAGGGAGGGAGGAAAGAGGCGAAAGATCGAGATAGGGCGGCAGCACCAACAGCAGCAGCAGCACCAACAACAGCAGCAGCAGCAGCAGCAGCAGCAGCAGCAGCAGCAGCAGGGGCCTGCCGGCTCCGCACCACGGCGGCCAGCCCGTGCTGCGCGCAGAAGGCCCTGACCTGCTCGGGCGCCGCCTCGCGGGCGGGCCCGAGCGCCCCGCGGGGCAGCAGGGGCCCGGGGGCGAAGAGCTCCACCAGCACCTCGGGTGGGGGGGGGAGCGAGGGGAGGGGGAGGAGGACAAGCTAGGTGCGCTCGCGTCGTATCTGACATCCTACCCCTCCCTCCCATCCCTTACCATGGCGCAGATCCCCTCTCTACTCGCACAGTCGGATGTCAAGGAGGGCAATGATCCCGAAAAGGTACGCGATGCATTGTAGAGCACGGCATGGCATGGCGTAGAAGAGCACCGCGAAACGTAGTATCAACCTAGTATTGCATTGCATGCCGTGGCATGGCACGGGAAATGACGCCAGCGCTGCAGC